TGCCGTAAGCAGGAAACTCCGACTGTTGATATTACTGGCAAAGAGTGTGTAGTGGCACTTTATGATTATGCAGAGAAATCTCCGAGAGAAGTTTCCATGAAAAAGGGCGACACGTTGACTCTACTAAACTCTAACAACAAAGATTGGTGGAAGGTAGAAGTAAACGATCGTCAAGGTTTCGTACCAGCTGCATATGTGAAGAGAGTTGAACCTGAGGCAGGACTAAGCGCTTCTCAGCAGAATCTGGCCAGAGAACAAAGTTCTATCGCCGCTAGACAAGCTCAAATTGAGGGTCAATATGATGATCTTTTGAGACTTGCACGTGAAAGACAAAACAAGCTTAATGAAACAGCTAAAGCTTATGTGCTTGTCAGAGAAGCTGCGGAACTAGCTACTTGGATCAAGGACAAAGAGAATCATGCTCAAGTTCAGGACGTTGGCGAGGATCTAGAACAAGTAGAGGTGATGCAGAAAAAATTCGATGATTTTCAAGCAGACTTAAAAGCCAACGAAGTTCGTTTGGCCGAGATGAATGAAATTGCCGTACAGCTGATGAGTCTTGGACAGACGGAAGCAGCTCTGAAGATACAGACACAAATACAGGATCTTAACGAGAAATGGACCAGCTTACAAACTCTCACAGCAGAACGTGCCAATCAGCTCGGTTCTGCTCACGAAGTTCAACGATTCCATCGTGATGTTGATGAGACTAAGGATTGGATTCGAGAGAAAGATGCCGCGTTGAACAACGATGACCTTGGAAAAGATCTGCGTAGCGTACAGGCTTTGCAACGCAAACACGAAGGTTTGGAAAGAGACTTAGCTGCTTTGGGAGATAAAATAAAGCAGCTGGATGAAACAGCTAATCGTCTCATGCAATCCCACCCTGAAACTGCTGAACAAACCTATGCCAAGCAAAAGGAAATCAACGAAGAATGGACTCAGTTAACAGCTAAAGCTAATAGCAGAAAAGAGAAGTTGCTGGATTCTTATGATCTACAACGCTTCCTCAGCGATTACAGAGACTTGATGGCTTGGATAAATTCGATGATGGGTCTAGTTGCTTCAGAGGAACTGGCTTCCGATGTGACCGGTGCAGAAGCTCTTCTCGAACGACATCAGGTAAGTTTATCAATCAAAAGATATTTGATACTGAAATGATCCAGTGGTCACACGGACGTTCACGAGTCATTCATGAATTATAGAATCACAGAGCAGAGATAGACGCACGATACGGCATACTTCCAGAGGTACTGAAGTGTTTAAGAGAGCATGGAACAAAACTGTGCGACTTTGCCTCTGAATATATTCTTTATAATTAATCACTTTTAGTATATTTTTCTGTTGTTGCTAAATCTCTTTTCATTGAAAAGAACAGATTGGCAAATCGATGTTTTAGTAATGAAGACACCGCCTTATTAACACCTATGGAGTATTTTCAACGCTTCTTATAGTGCAATCGCTGCCTTTTCCGCTTATCGTAGTGTCTATTGTCGAGTGGGTTGAAATACGTGAAAATATGCGTGTGAATTTATATCGAGGTACTTAATATAATACACATGAATCCGTATAACCATAGTTCCGTTTATGTTATAGGAGCATCGTATGGAAATCGACGCCAGAGCAGGCACATTCCAAGCATTCGAACTTTTTGGTCAGCAACTTTTGCAATCCAGTCACTATGCCAGTGTCGAGATCCAGGAAAAACTTGAATCCATGGCTGAAGCACGTCAAGAGCTAGAGAAGGCTTGGATCCAACGGCGCATGCAGCTAGATCAAAATTTGGAACTACAATTGTTTTGTAGAGATTGCGAGCAAGCCGAGAATTGGATGAGCGCACGTGAAGCTTTTTTAAGCAGTGCAGACACTGTCGATAGTAGCGATAACGTAGAAGCTCTGATCAAGAAACACGAGGACTTTGACAAAGCCATCAACGCGCACGAGGAAAAGATTGCCACATTGCAAATTTTGGCTGACCAACTGATTGCTGCTGAACATTATGCTGCAAAACCAATTAATGAGAGACGTTGCCAAGTTCTAGATCGGTGGAAGCATTTGAAGGACGCTCTTATTGAGAAACGTTCCAAATTGGGAGAGTCTCAAACTTTACAACAATTTTCCCGAGATGCCGATGAAATGGAGAATTGGATCGCTGAAAAATTGCAGTTGGCTACTGAGGAGAATTACAAGGATCCAGCTAACATTCAATCAAAGCATCAGAAACACCAGGCATTTGAAGCTGAATTGGCAGCAAATGCAGACAGAATTCAATCTGTATTAGCCATGGGAGGGAATTTAATCGAGAAACATCAGTGTGCTGGATCTGAAGATGCTGTTCAAAAGAGGCTTGCTTCGATCGCCGATCAGTGGGAGTATCTTACTCAGAAGACCACGGAGAAATCGATGAAACTGAAAGAAGCCAACAAACAGCGTACCTACATCGCTGCTGTTAAAGACCTCGATTTCTGGCTTGGTGAAGTGGAGAGTTTGCTTACGTCTGAGGATGCTGGCAAAGATTTAGCTTCTGTACAAAATCTGATGAAGAAGCATCAATTGGTTGAGGCTGATATCCAGGCACATGAAGAAAGGATTAAGGACATGAATGGACAGGCAGATTCACTGATTGAAAGTGGACAATTTGATGCAGCTGGTATTCAAGAAAAACGTCAGAGCATAAATGAGCGCTATGAGAGAATTCGCAACCTTGCTGCACACAGACAGGCTAGATTAAATGAAGCAAATACTTTGCATCAATTTTTCAGGGATATTGCCGACGAAGAATCTTGGATTAAGGAGAAAAAATTATTAGTCGGGTCAGACGATTATGGCCGTGATCTTACTGGCGTACAAAACTTGAAGAAGAAGCATAAAAGATTAGAAGCAGAATTAGGTAGTCACGAGCCTGCTATACAAGCTGTTCAAGAAGCGGGAGAAAAATTAATGGACGTTTCTAATCTGGGAGTACCTGAAATTGAACAACGTCTAAAACTCCTCAATCATGCATGGGCTGAATTGAAACAACTGGCTGCCAATAGAGGACAAAAACTGGACGAGTCTTTGACTTATCAACAATTCTTAGCTAAAGTCGAGGAAGAAGAAGCTTGGATTACAGAAAAACAACAATTACTTTCAGTAGAAGATTATGGCGACACAATGGCTGCTGTACAAGGATTACTGAAAAAGCATGACGCTTTCGAAACTGACTTTGCAGTTCACCGTGAACGCTGCAAGGACATTTGTGAAGCCGGAGAAGCTTTAATCAAAGCTGGAAATCATCGTGCAGATGCTATAGGACAAAGATGTGCCCAGCTTCGTAACAAATTGGAACAACTTGGTGCGCTTGCAGCCAGAAGAAAGACTCGACTGAACGACAATTCGGCTTATTTACAGTTTATGTGGAAAGCAGATGTAGTTGAATCCTGGATTGCTGACAAGGAAACTCACGTACGTTCAGAAGAATTTGGACGAGACTTGTCTACTGTACAGACACTATTGACTAAACAAGAAACATTTGATGCAGGATTGCATGCCTTTGAACACGAAGGAATTCAGAATATCACTTCGTTGAAGGAAATGTTAGTCGATTCTGGACACGATCAGACACCTAGCATTCAAAAACGTCATGCAGATGTTATTGCTCGCTGGCAGAAGCTTTTAGCTGATTCTGACGCAAGAAAACAACGTTTGTTAAGAATGCAAGATCAATTCAGACAAATTGAAGAATTGTATTTGACATTTGCTAAGAAAGCATCTGCTTTCAACTCATGGTTTGAGAACGCAGAAGAAGATTTGACCGATCCTGTACGATGTAATAGCATTGAAGAAATTCGGGCTCTTAGAGAAGCTCATGCACAATTCCAGGCAAGTTTATCCTCGGCAGAAGCAGACTTCGAAGCTCTGGCTGCCCTTGACAAACAAATCAAGAGTTTCAATGTTGGTCCTAATCCATATACGTGGTTCACAATGGAAGCGTTAGAAGATACTTGGCGTAATTTACAAAAAATAATCAAAGAACGTGATGTGGAACTTACAAAAGAGGCTCAACGACAAGAAGAAAACGATAAGTTGCGTAAAGATTTTGCTAAACATGCTAATGCGTTTCACCAGTGGTTAGCAGAGACAAGAACATCCATGATGGAAGGATCAGGATCATTGGAACAACAATTGGAAGCAACGAAAAGGAAAACGCAAGAAGTTCGAGCACGTCGTCAAGACTTAAAGAAAATTGAAGACTTAGGAGCAATTTTGGAAGAACATTTAATCTTGGATAATCGTTACACGGAACACAGTACCGTGGGTCTGGCACAACAATGGGATCAATTAGATCAATTAGGAATGCGTATGCAACACAATCTGGAACAACAGATACAGGCACGTAATCAATCGGGTGTTTCTGAAGATGCCCTGAAAGAATTCTCAATGATGTTCAAACACTTCGACAAGGACAAGAGTGGTCGTCTGAATCATCAAGAATTTAAGTCATGTTTGAGGGCGCTTGGTTATGATTTGCCAATGGTAGAAGAAGGTCAACCTGATCCTGAATTTGAAAATATTCTCGGTATGTTTTGCACCCATATTTATTATTATATGACTAAATATAATTAACTGAAGTAACGTAGAAGGAAATTATGCAATGTAAAATTTTTATCTTTTAGATATAGTTGATCCAAACAGAGATGGTTATGTATCGTTACAAGAATACATGGCGTTTATGATTAGTAAAGAAACCGAGAATGTACAAAGCTCTGAAGAAATAGAGAATGCTTTCCGTGCTATCACTGCTGCAGATCGGCCATATGTTACGAAAGAAGAATTATATGCTGTGAGTATAAGAGCTTTAAATATACAGTTATTAATTTGCCTCCTATATATTAATGTTATATTACGTGTATTTAGAATCTTACCAAGGAGATGGCTGATTATTGCGTTGCTCGCATGAAACCTTATGTCGATCCAAAAACAGAGCGACCAATCACAGGAGCATTGGATTATATTGAATTTACTCGCACTCTTTTCCAAAATTAATTGTAGTTACATAAATTATTTCTTTTTTATTATGACAGTTATTAAATTATAGAATATGTTACAATTGAAATACTGGATGCTTACTTATTTTATTAAACACCTTGATACTTCAATACCATATATGTAAACAATTATTTATCTTGACTTTATTTATAGCGCATTTTACACTACTTTGTATTAACATATATACTATCAATGAAGAATCATAAAGAATAAATTATACACTTTGTGTACAACAATTTGTATATATTTTACAGTACCAAATAATTCAAAATGTCTATTCTTTTCAACAAAATTTTTCTCCAATTATGCAAAATAGAAAATTACAGTTGAATATACATTAAATAATGCAAAATATAAAATAGAGTTCCATCTTCCTTAGTATTTTATGAACTGTTGTCTTACCTAGTTTTTACCAAAAATCTATTTAATATCCCATAATCTTTCTGAGGTTCTTCTATTTTCTTTGTATCAGGTCGAACATTTGCGTGACGAAGTACATTGATAGTTTCCTGAAAAAAATAACTCTTAATACTTGTAATACATATGCACAAAAAAAAACTTACCCTTTGATTTAACCCTTTTAAAATCTTTTTGGTCTTAATTACTTTAGCTGTTCCTCCTTTTCCTTTAGCTTTTGTTCTACGAGGTTTAAAATCTATATCCTTTGGTTTAAGATGCTATAAAAACATCACATAAATAATAGTTGGTATAATTATCATAAAACAAAATTAATTTAATTTTATTAAATACTCACTAAGAGATTATTTTTAGCTTTTATTTTATCTTTAAGGGTGGGCACATCTACTTCTGTTATAGCAACTGGGTCCAAACATATTAATTCTGGTTGAATTTTGTCCAACAGAGCTTTTATTTCGGCTTCACGTCTCTGAGACTTAGTTTGGAATGGATTACTCTCAAGAGCATCAAAGTTAGCTTCTCCACTTCCAGGTATTAAAAGGGAAGAAACCCCTTTCATTGTACCAATACCTAAAATATCTTCATATGGACAAAAGTGCATACTTGTCACAGTCCAATCAGCTCTATGACGCAAATATGGTTTCATTTCATTGGTCGACGATCTAATAATACAAAGTAGAAATATATATAAGTCATCTTTATCATTATATAAATATAAACTATTATATAATATTTACTGGTAAACTTCTACAACATTTCCCATTGCCATTGCTACTTGACCGCATTGACTGTATGATAAATGGTGAACAGGTGCGCGTACGCGATAATTATGCACTGGACCTGCTAATTGTCTAATATCCCATATTTTCACAAATCTGTTTGGACAACTAGTTGCCATATAAGTTCCATAAGGATGAACTGCACAGGCTGTTATTGCTTGAGAATGACACAACATTTTTGCCAAAGGGTTCTTACTGTTTGGAGACCACATAGATACTACCCCTTTTGAATCTCCCACACAAAGTACTGCATTAGTTGGGTTTTGTGTCATTACCTATAAAGTAATTGACTATTTTAATTATACCAACTGTATACATGCGAGAATGTCAAATATATTTAAACTTACTGCTATGTTTCCTACTCTAGAATGAAATGCATTTACAAATTTGCCTACAGAAACATCCAACCATGCTAAATAACCTTCTCTAGATCCACTGGCAAGTAAAAAATGATATGGTAAAAATTCTAATTTATTAACTTTATTCATTTTTTTCAAACAATGAAGTTCAATTCCTTGGTTATCATATATATATACCCAATCCTTTTGTGCTACAGCAAACATTGTTTCTATATGAAGCCATGACACATCATGTATTGATTCCATTACATTTATTTCACAGGCTAATTTTTTCGTAACCCAGTCCAAAGCAGCTACATGACCTTTTTTTCCACCTAATACTAAATGTCTACCATTTTTTGTATATTTTATGTAATATGGTCCAAATTCCAAATTCAATGTAAAATGCTTGGCTGCACTGGTTATATCTACATTGTCTGTAATTTGTTTTTGTTTATATTGTACAGTTACTTCTCCTGCATCTGCTTCCAAACAACCATAATCTTCTGTTAGAAGTAATTCAGTACGAGCAGTATCCTTCACTATATTATGGAAAATACGCTCTTTTTTCTTAAATTTCTCTCTTATTATCTTATTTTTGATTTTAGTTGTTCCTAACTTCAAATCAATTCCTTCTCCTTTATTGTATTTTTCTAATATTTCTTTTTTAATTGGTACTCGTTTATAGTACCTATTCTCTGTAAAGATTATCAAAAAATAATTATTCTCGAAACATAAATATATATATTTATATATATATATCTTTTACTTTATGGACAATTTTATATTATATATTTATGTTTCGAGATATATATATATATATATATAAGATATAAATTTACGTACTTGTAGATTTCATTTTGTTCTTAATTATTAAAACAATAAGAATTAATATATTATATAAGGAAGTCCGAATGTTTCACTTTATCATAATTTTAACCATAATACACGTGAACATGTAAGGCGCCATATTTATTTAAAGCAAGGTTTACAGAAGAAATAGTTACGTTCTTTCTGCTTAAATTACATTCTATTGTTAGTATTTTTCATCAGCATTCTTCGATAATGACATCAAATTCCAGAAATTTACAAAGTTAACTTAAATGGTTAATAATAGTTAATAATATTATTAGTATTAATAAAACAAAACGAAGATATAAATCATTAATGATATTGTGATTTTTTGCAACGGCCAGTATGTAAAATTAAATTATTCTTTAGAAAAAAAAGTACAAGATTTTAAAAAGAATAATAAGGATATATTAAATAAACAAATATCCATTAAACTAACTTTTAACACTAAATTTTGTTGCATTGTTTACATAAGTCGAATTTTTACAAATTCGTTACAGGATGGCGCTAGCAGTTGAAAAACACTCCAATATAAAGAACACAAAATATATAGCTCAATCTTAATATACATATTCGAAGGTTGTGTAACTGTTGTTACTTTGGCTTACTTCGAATTTAACCTTGTAAGGATCAGGCAAATTCGTTTCTCAACGTAATCATTTATATGAAGATTGTTGTAAAATAATTAAACATGAAAGCTGCTCCCGATCCAAAAGACATCCAGGTATTATATCTTACTTATAAGGAATGTAATTATTAATATTTCTATTCTAGCCTATAAAATTACTAAAATATATTTTTCTATTAAGTATTTTATTATATTTAAGTGTAAGAGATTGTAAATATATACAATTTTCGTTTTGCTTTATTTGTGTAATATTCATACTACTGCAATTATTTTCCAGGAATTTCAATTTAAACAATCAAACATTTACCAACTTCTAGATGCATTCGCATCCATACCAACTACATGCAGTTTATTGGCTGCAGATAAGAAAAGAGGATTGTTATATGCAGGACAAAATAATAAAATTTTTATATTAAAGCCAAGAGAAAACAGTGATCCAGAATGGAAGATAGAATTTAATATGCCTGGAGTTGTATCTAAATTAGCACTTAATTGTGATTGTTCTTACTTAGCTGTGGCACAAGATGGACCTATGATTTTAATTTATGATGCACAAGCACTTACCAAAAATTTATTTTATGTAATCTCATATGTAGTTTCTTTTTCTAAATTGTCATCAAGTAACTTATAATATATTTTAATCATGTTTTTACTTGCAGAGCTTGCAATTACTACATGAAATTAGAGTTTCTGCATCAAATGCAGATGTACTTGTGAATGATCTACGATGGAATCCTGCTGTACCAGGAATGTTGTGTACGATAGCTAGTGATTATACAATTGGTAGTTTTAAAATAAAGGAAAAGGAAAAAGAAACAGTTGTACTGAAAACTTTAGAAAAATTTAACGATGGTGACTTAAATGCTCTATGTGCAGCATGGAGTCCAAAAGGAAAACAAATTGTTGTGGGTTGTGTAAATGGTAGTATAGTACAGCTTAAACCTGATTTAAAAATAGCAAGAACAATTCCTGGTCCTAATCCATCTATTGGAGAAGTTGTTAGTATTTTGTGGATCAGCAATTATCAATTTTGTGCTGCTTATGCAAATTTAGGTACAGTGGAAATTAATGTTCTTATAATTGATGCTCCTAAAGGAGAAACAAATGCTATTTTTACTTGTTATGAAGATATTACTTTTGGAGTAACAGATACAGAAGGAGAAGGAACAGTTCCTCATTATTATTTTGATCATGTACCAGAATGGGGTTTAATTATTGCTGCTAGCAGCAATAGTACTGAAGTGGCTGTATTAGGATCTGTAGATAAAGGTGTCACTTGGTATCCATGGCAATTAGTAGATAGTGGTAGAGCTGAATTACCATTGATTTGCACTACAGAAAGCTATCCAGTAGGTTTAGCTATTGATAAATCTCCTACTAAAAAATTACCATGGGGAGCAGATTCTACTTTACCTCATCCAGTTCCCATGCTACATATCCTTGCAACATCTGGACAATTGTGTAGTTTTCATATGGTGAATTTGACTCCGAATTGTCCGCCTATCAATTCGCCGCCAACGGAAATTATTGCAACTCCGCCACAAGCACGATCGAGCGCTGACCTCGAAACATACCTTATTATGACTGGTGTAGCGACTAGTACACCACGAGTTAAGCAGCCAGAAAATGTTTCTGAACGTTCAAAACCTATTGCAGGAGGAAGTATTTTTGAAAAATTTACTCAAGGCAATAATTTTATTACACAGTCTGTAACTGAGAAACCAAAACAAGAGCAGAAACCTGAACAAGTTAATACAGGATTGAAAGTAGAACCAATTAGAGAAATTCAACCACAAGAAATTGTAAAACCAGATGTTAAATTAATGCCTGTAAAAGAAACAATTATGCAAAAACCTGTTGTCCAAAAACCATCTCCAGATGATGATGTTAAAGATATTCGTGCATATTTAGAAGAACATAATTTATTTGAAAAGGAATTACATAATAGATTAGAACCCCAAACATGGGAATGTGGCACTGAAGAAGAATGTCGGAAACTTGTAGATACATCTATTATAATAGATCAGTTTCTGCGAGAATTAAAAGAAACAACAAATAGTTTATCTAGTGATATTGCATATCTAAAAGCATTGCTATTACAGTCATTTGCTTGGGTTGAAGAAACAAAATCAAAAAATGCAGCAACTAATGATATTACAACTAGAAATTGTGGAGATAGTAATAAAATATCAGATCTACAAAAGCTTTATTATTATACTCAAACACAACTAACTCAAGCTGGTAAAATCTTGGACTTAGAATGGTCGAATCATAAATCCCAAGAAATGTCACGAATGAAAATTCCTCATTTGGAATTTGTATATCAAAATCTTATATTACATAATAAAATTATCCATGAAGAGAAAAGTAAAATAGAGCATCTTAAAAAACGATGGAAATTAATTACTCGTAATAATAGTATTTTTGGATTAAATCGTTCATTGTCTAATTTAAGCATTACATCATCAAAATCTTCAGCTACTCTTACAAGAAATACAGGAATCATAGAAGCACGATGTAAAACAATCGCTTCTAAAACTTTGAGTTTTACTCAAGAAAAACAGGTTAAGTTAAGAGAACACTTATCAAATTCTACTCCAAGAATCATAAAACCTGTTAATCCTTCACCTATTCAACATCGTTTGGAAGCTACTTTGTCCTCTTTAGCTTCTCCCAATATGACTACTGTTAATATTAAAAACAAAGTAGAACAAGCAATTTCCAAACAAACTTCAATTACTAAACAACAAAATGTTGAGAAAACAGATCAGCAAAGTCCACTAGCTTCTTTGAATAGCATTGTAGCAAGGATTGGCACAAGTGAATCTATTAACACATCAACACAAAACAAAATGCAAAGTGAACAACCAGGTTTTGGTATTACTTTCCCACCTATACCTGGAAGTAAACCTGTACAAACAGAGAAAATATCTAGTACACCAGCAATTACTACAGTAACTCAAAGTACTAAACCAAAACAAGATACTATTACATTCAATCAGAGTAACATTTCTGCTCATACTTCGCCAAATTTAATGAAACCTTTTTCTAAGGTTGATACCAGTTCATTAGATACATCAATACAAAAGTCTGAAGAAACAGCTGCACAAAATTCAACCATTCAACCAGTATGGCTGTATACTATTAAGACAGACAATAATTTGTTTGGTACTAATTCATTAAAAGATGCATTACCATCAGAAACTTCATCAGAAGAAATACAGACAACTACTTCAAACACTGGAATGACAATATCTGTGACAACAGCAGCAAAAACGAAAGCAGCATCTACATTCAATTTTGCTAGTTCAACTACTACCCCTGCATCAATAAAAAGTACTTCACAAAGTACATTTGTTGCACCAGAAACAAATGCACAAACATTTTCTTTTGCATCAAAACCTTCAAACATTAATAGTCCGTTCAACTTGAAAATAACATCACCAACAACAACATCTCAAACACAAGATTCATTGAGTTTAACAACTGCATTTACAAGGCTACAGACATCTAATGAAGCACCTAATGTATCTAGCAGTAATACTAATATTGATGAGAAATATAACTACAAACCATCATTTGGAACACCTAGCTTTCAAATGTTATTAGGACAAAATACATCTAGCGGAAATCAAATTTCTATAAAACTTGTAAGCGGAGTTCCTTCCAAAGCAACCATTGCAACTACATCTTCTGTTACGATTGAGGAAATACCTCCTACTGAATCAAAAACATCTAACCTTCCAACAAATTCTGTCCAAAGTTTACCTGCATCTTCTACTACTCCTTCATTTAGTAATCAGACAAATACATCAAATGTTTCTATATTTGGAGGAATGCCAAATTCTACTCCAACTACAACCACATGTACTGTTACAACTGTCACACCTGCTGTACAAACTACAACTACTTCATCCATGTCACTATTTGGTAATTTCAGTACTATCCCAACAGCAAGTACAACAACCAATACAATGGTAACAACTTCTGGTACAGTGTCTTCTTTTGATAAAGCTACCATTAATTTAGGTACAGCAAACTCTACCAAAGCTGGTACTACGAGTTCATCTACATTTACTTTTGGAAACATTGCAACAACTTCAGCTGTTTCAGTTTTTGATATACCTACTGTTACAATGACCTCTCAGTTTCCAAATATGCCAGTTTCTTCAGCAGATGATAGCTTTGCAAAAAAAGGTACGGATTTTAAGTGCTTTGAAAACACTACAAAGACATTTATGTATTCCAAAATGCTAACAACTCAGCTAACCACAATATTCAGTGGAAATAATAATAATTCAATCTTTGGTGGATGTGCTCGAACATTCTCATCAGCTTCTATCTTCGGAGGGAATACAACATCGACCAATACGTTTGGAACGCCTCAAGTATCCATGTTTGATAGTAATGCGCAAAAATCAGACTCCATATTTGGTTCGACGTCAAACACAGGTTCTACATCATTTTTTGGTGGTACAACGAACAATGTTACCCCAGGATTACCTTCACCTGGACCTACATCTGTATTTGGTGTTACTTCAACTAACACGTCGCCAATGGGTGTAGAACAACCTGTATTAGGTGCACAACCTGCATTTGGGCAAGCACCTTCATTTAATACAAACCCAGTATTTGGATCACCATCAATATTTGGAACTCCAAACCCACCCTTTGTTGGTGGTTTTGGAACAATAGCATTTGGAGTCAGTGCTACTCCTCCAAGTAAGTAGTATATTACAATATATTTTGTTATACTACATATTTTTTTTTTTTATGTAACAATTCAACTGAACTTTATATTGAAAATATATAAAAATAGCATTCGGAAGTCCACCTACTCTGGGAGGAAATTCTGCTCCAATTAATAACAATATGCCGGAACTTTTCGGAAATATAGGTGGCAATAATACGTTTGAATCTTTGGCAAGTCAATTGGGCGTACCTAGTTTCAGTAGTTTAGCACAAAAAAGCGTAGACGCACCAAAATCTCCAGTATTCACTAGGTAAGTTGAAAATTAATTCTGCATTTTTAATTTTTTCAAAGCATAAAGAAAAAAAAATATTTAATATATGTTTTTGTTATAGTGGGAACTCTTTCTCCACCTGGCGATAGTCAACAAATTTATAAATTAAATGTATCATCTTTCAAAACGTATTATTTTTACAAAAAAAGATAGAGTTTCTATGCTCTTTTCAGTTTACTTAAATCATGTATTTGTAATTACTTTTTATGGAATAGATCAAATATCATTAGTTTTAAAACATTGTTGACATCTGTATTATACAAAAACTGAAGTGATTTAGTATATTTTGAATTTATTTACAATAAAAAATTGTTAAAAAACAACAACGTATAAAAATATATTTAGATACCTCGTTTTATAGGTTTTGGAGCAATTGATACTTTAGTCGGTTTACAGAGGTCTATAACACATGGATCATCAAGGGGAGAATGTGTGCATACAGCTGAAGATGGTACAAGAAGTGCTAGAGATATTTCTACATTGCATGCTTCCATCCATACTTGATGCGATAACAGAACTGTAGTTTTCAATCTGTAGTCATTTTGTTCGGTATTCTGTAGTCTTAAATCCGACTGACGTGGTAATAGTAACTGTACTTGTTGATCAGGATGCCTCAATTTAATACGTAGTATATTAGGATCTCGTAAATTTAATATTTTTGCTGTTAATGGAATTCCTAATAAAAGGCCTCCTGTAAATTTCAATGCAGCATCTGCATCGCCTCTAGGTTCTTCGATAATTGCTCTACAAAATCGAGTAGAGACTGATGGCCTTGGGAGACGTTCCTCTCCTTGAGACGCCGGTGTTAGAAGTAATGGTAAAAGCATTCGTGTTAGAGATCCTGGTTTTACATCAGCTAAAGTTGGAATCTGAAGTACAAGAGCTCTAGAAAAGGATGGTAGTTTTGCCATATCTTGAGCTAGAGTGTCAGCTTCAGATAAAAAATGCCGTGCGAGTGGAAGAGCACTTCTTCCTGTTACACTTCTTGTTACTCGAATTAATTCTACTGCCAATGCTTTTAACCACACGTCATTAGCTAATATGATTTCGTTTTCACCTAATCCGCTAAACAATCGCTGTAACCTGTAACAATCATATAAATCATAGTTGAATAAATTATATGTAGGTGTAATAAATGTAAGAGCTAAACATACTTTTGGGTATTTTGAAGGAGAACTGAAACATTTGTAGTTGTATTCGGTAATGGACTTGTTGATACTGAATTTGTTGATGATATTGAAAATTCTTTCAATACAGATTTTAAAAGCAGCAAACATCTTATGTATAAAGCTGTAAAACGTGCAGCTCCCTCCATGCGATGATCCATTTCTGCTAAACGATCAAGATCAACGGCTGCAGCCTCTAAGAGTTGTGTATGAACTCTACCACCAGGTCTTGCATTTTCTACACCTGTGACCACTTTTTCTAGAAATTCTTTTCCACGTTCAGTTTCTTCGTCAATTTTATCGTCTTTTCCAAAGTCTGGTCCACTTGTTACAGTTGGTCGCAATCGAGGAACTAAATGTGGCATAGTATCACGTAAATAATGATAATGCTTAGATGCATGTTCTGTAAAAAGGGCATGCATGCTTGGACAATGTAGCGCAGCATTAAATATCAAAACTAGCACGCTTGCATCTATGATTTATAGTTAAGAATATTATGAGATTATTACTATAATTTATATTTTGTAAAGAAAATTGTTGAAAGGATACAAGAAGGTTCATCAACATCAGGTTCTGGTGTATCAAAAACTGGATGTCTTCCAAGAAGTTGCGGTACTAATGGCAACGTTAAATATGGATGCGAAGCTCCTAATGCTGCTAAACAGTTTCTAATACTTTCTTTGTCTTGTGGATAACGACCTAAGTTATCGAGTAAACGATTTACACACATATGAAGGCAATTTCTTGTAGCAAGCCGACTAGCAGCCAAAGTAGCATGTAAACCTTCTCGCACTTCGCCTGAAAAATCTTCCAGTGCCCCTAAAATTGTTTCTAATTGATCTTCACGAAGAGTTACGCTAGCAGACATTTTTCTTAACGATTCGATAGCTCTTAAACGAACATCTTGAATTTCGTCATTGAACATATCAACCATAAAGTCCAATGAAATTTTAGCTATGTTCGGCTGCTCCAAGGATAAGATGCAAAGTGCTTCAACTGCTGCTGTTCTCACCTAAAAATATTCATTTATTTCAATTGCTCAAATTATAAATTACACAATGTATAAATAAATAACGACGGTACCTCTAGAAATTCATCTTCCAAACCATGAATAAATGCACCACACGATCCACTTTTTTCTTCTACTTCTGGTCTATCTGCTTCTACAATTTTTTGTTTTTTATCTAATGCTTGTTCTATATACCTTTGTGAAACTCCTTTCATTGTTCCTAAGAGAGACATTGCAGAAGCTCTAACTCTTGGTGATAAATCACCCATAAGACTACAAATTTGGGAAAATGCACAATCTACCATACGTATATCTTCTCCATCTGCCCCCAGAATAATACTACAAAGTAATAAGACATGAGTATATTTAATGATAACTGTTAATAATAAATTAAAAAGGGTATGATCAAATGTTACTTACTTTTCAGGATATTCTCTACCTAAAAGCCATATCAATTTAAGAACAGTTCTACGAACTATTTCATAATCATCTCTAAGTGCAGTGCAAGCTTCTCCAAAAAAGCTTGCAGGTAATCTACAACCTCTATAAGAATGAAGTTCAGCCATTGTCTCAAATGCTTGTGCACGTACTCTTGGATCTTGAGAATGTGCATAATTGCTAACAAGTGCTAAAGTATCATCTGTAGTATTTGCTGTTAAATATCTACCAATGATAGAAAGACAACGTGTTTGTACACCATGCCAAGTATCAGGCAAATGATCACGAGCAATCTTTAATACAAGAGTCCTAAAATTTAATAAATTATTTTTCTTTTATATTCTTAACTCTTTTATATTCTTCTCAAATATGTATGTAATACCTATGATAATCTCCTAGTTTTAATAACGTTGCTAAACCTTGACTTTTTACTCTATGTGACTCCTCATTTCTTAAAAGTTCAGCAGTTTCATTAACAATTCTTGTTTTTTCAACTGAATCATTTGTTATTTCTCCTAATTCTGCAAATATCCAAAGTATTTTGGCACGGACAGCTGCTTCTGTTTCTATTGTAAATCTTTCTGATAATTTTTTTACAACAGAAGAAACATCTTCTTGAGAGATATATGCAATTGTATCAGATATACGAACTAGAAGCTGTAAAGCATCATTACCACATTTACATTTCTCAAGGCACTCAATATAAGCTAATGCTGAACACCCTTCTGTTCCATTTTTACTACCTGAACTAGATATAAGACGTAATGTTCTTAATCTTTTCAATGGTTGTTCGGTTACAACCTGCAAATGGGTATAAATAAACAAATAAATATATTTAAATCAAATTTATTGCAGACATTAGATTTGATTTACCTGACTTTGATTAAATTCTGCTAAAACTCTTTTCTTCATTAAAGCTGCCATTCTAGCCAAGTATTCTACATTTATTTATAAATAACATAAAGTAGTAATTATGTTTTTTGGTATCTATAGAGGTTAAATTTACATTTTTTTAAATTATTTTATAATACAAGACGTAAAACTTAAGAATTTTTTCTTTTTAAAGCTTATAATATATTTTACTTGGTATCAGTAATATTGACATTTACAACATCGTAAATTTTATATAGAATTGAAACTTTAAAAATGCCTTGCATTAAAGACAAAATTACAAGGTTATGCTATCAGCTGATTATATAATTCAATTCATACGTATGTCAAAGTGTTATGAAATTAAATGGTTTATTTTTTTATTAATTTCTATTAGTTTTATTTTTTACTAATAATAGAAACTGTAAAAAAAATATACAAGACTGAAAATTTATTTTATGAATGACACGTTCTTCGCTTTAAATATTATGGAATAATTTCGTAACATGTATATCTTATTAAATATTGATTTACAAAATATTTTAATATATTATTATTTTATTTTTCACTTTATTCAAAAGTATCAATTATTATTATATTTTTCGTATATTAATAAACGTAATGATAAATATGATCAAAATATGTTTATAATATTTGTGATTATGCATATCAAATAGACTGAAAAAATATTGTGATAATGATATTTGCAATCTATTTACTCATTATAATTTATGATTCTGGAAATATAAATATAAACATCTGTTTATCATCTTCTAGGTAGACGAACCTGTCAATTTGACAAGTTTGTCTGGCTTTAACATGGCTACCGAGATCAATAGAAAACTGTCATGATACATTTTACCCAGGACCGTTAACGTTATTAAGTTGTCTAAAATGTATCGCACCAACATTTCTTCTGTGAATATGAATATTTTTTAAATTATTATAAAATTTATTTATATTTTTATGAAAATGTTATACTTTTGATTTATAATGATAAGTGAAAGTGTTCTGAATAACTGTTGACTCGTGAAATGAGGGTGATTCATAACAATGTAATACGGCATTATAAAAACAATACTTTTTTAGATCGATTAAAAATCATAGATATTATAGGAGTTCCTAATATTTCATATGAATGTCGTCGATGTATTTATCTTAAAAGTATTACTTAAAAAAAGTTTGGAATGTATTTAATATTTTTACATGATTGTTATTTTATACTTACTTCACAAGAGTGACTGTTTCTACTATTTGTCAAAATATCTCTCAATTTTACTAGTGAAAATATTGGTATTAATCAAGGAAACCACCGAGTTTCCAGTAGATGATATATTAATATGGACATTTTTGAATTTATTTGCATATCTGTGATTACATTTGTGTGTGGTATAATATGTACACTTGTACTGGAGTTTTACTTGTTCAAAAAATACTTGGAAGAAGCACCACTAGCAAGTCCACTAAAAAAATCAATCTATTATGGAAAGGCTCAATTACCTAAGGAATTACTTGAAAAAATTCAAGATGAAAAGACAAATTCTACAAGTATATCACGTCAAAGTATGTGCCAGGGCAATGAGAACTTGGCAATAAATTTAACATTGCAATTTTTGTTCAATGAACTTAGAAATGCTGAGAGAGTACGTCTCTGGTTATATAGAAAATTAAATAATGAATTTAAAGAATTATTAACTCAGTCTACCACTGGTAAATTATTGGATAGTGTACAGGTAAAATATAAAGTTAAAAATATTGTTCGATATTCATATTAGTTATATAAATATTTGTGTATGTATATTTTCAGTTAAGAGACTTAAATCTAGGGACACAGTTTCCCACAATAAAAGGTTTAGAAGTTGCAGATTCAAAAATAGATGCTGATACAGGTTTACTAGAGACATTAGATTTATCTTTAGATTTACATTATTCAGGAAATTTTCAATTATCTATAGATGTTAAAATGCTACTGGGAAAGACTGCTTATATGGCTTTACAAGGTACTTTATTAATGATTTAATAATTTACTAATTTAAAAAATTATGAATATATAAATAAAATTTTGTTGAATGTAATTAATAATATTTTGTTTAGTGAAACGTATCAGTGGCAGAGCTAGGTTGCAGTTTACACGTGTTCCATATACTCATTGGTCCTTAAGTTTTTATTCCGATCCTATACTTGAATTGGAAGTACAATCTCAATTTCAAGGTCGTCAATTACAACCACAGATCATCTCTTTGATCACAGGACAAATTCGAAGAGCTGTGCGTAGGAAGCATACACTACCTCGCTATAAAATGCGTTACAAACCATTCTTCCGCAGACTGAATGACGAAGCCGTAGATTTATCTGAAGTAAGATATTTCGTGCTTTTTGGTGTTATAAATTGATGAATAACTTTATATAAATTGAATATTACTTAATAAATGTTTAAATATATTTCTTTAGGTTGCCAACATGCAATTAATACCAGGTTACTTAGAAATATCATTGGTGGAAGTAACTAGATTAAATCTTGGACCTAATATACTTAATGCAGAGGATAGATCACAAGTTGAAGTATATTGTACAATATGCATAGACTCAACACCCTGGGTATATCTGACTCAATATACTGGAGTTCCTTATATGGTGTTGGACTTAATTATTAGTAAAGTTGGTTCTCAGCAACTTGGTGTAGTATTTAAGCAAGAATTTGTGCCAGAAATAGGTCACGTTTGTGTACTAGTCGAAACTATAATAGTTGGAAGTCCAGCTGCTATTGCTGAGATGAAAAAGGGAGATATTTTAATTGCAGTGGATGGCAAAAAAGTATCTAACATGAATCAAGTAGCTAAATTTGTAAAAAGTGCAGTACAAAGGCGTTTTATCATAAGGGTTGAAAGAAAGTATTCCAAAATAGATTTGGATAAACAAGCTACTATGAAATTGGATAGTGAAAGAATATCAGCAGAGAGAGGAGTAGATAGAAAAACATTAAAAACTGATTCTGGATTAAATAAGGGAGATACTCCCAATACTGAAGATAGCAAAATCAAATTTGAAAGTCAAATTAAATTTTCAGATTTGAAAGATTGTGAAAATGAAATTTCTGATAAATTGGAAATGACTAGTAAACTTTTTAGAAGAAGGAAAAGCAGTGCACATACCGATGATACTGCTCAAACGCCAGACACTACGCCTTCCAGAAAAATTTCAACTACTTCAAATCAATCAATAATATCGAGTAATTCTCAATTTTACCTTAACGACGATAACTATGTGACGAATATATCAGATTTGTATTACACTACAAAAGAAAAAGAATATGCCTCGTTAATTACTTTTGAGGAAACTAGGACTTTTCAAGTTGACTCGGAACTTCAATATTTAAATATAGGAGTTTGGGGTCGTGTAAGAGGTGAAATTCATACAAAATTGTTAGGATATATCAATGTCCCCATGAAATTAATTTTAGCACAATGTTATACGTCCACAACTGGTCATTATCTTAAATGCCATGCTTTATTACCACCAGATAGTGGTATGTATTGTTTTTATTAAATATAATTTGTAATATTATTTCTATTTTTATGTATTTTAAGTTAATTTTCTATGCTGTTCTAAAAGCTTCTTTGGCAACAGTTCATCCAAAACTACAAGACTATTCGGGATTTGATCCAACGCTTTGTTACGGTGATATTTTATTATCTTATGTATGGGAGTCCAATTATCCAAATCGTCATATGACTGATGATTTAGGAAAAAAGGAAAATACAGAAACTGTCAAAATACAACCATCTTTGAGTGAGGAAATTGCTGAGAAAAAGATGCACAGCTTTATTAGAACTCATTTTCATAGAGCAACACATTGTGATTTTTGTACAAAGAAGGTTGTACAAAGAAAGTTTTCACAATTATTCTCTTTTTTATAAATGTTTTATATCGAATAATAAAATTTTTATGTTTACTATACAGATTTGGCTAAAGGATGCAGTGCAGTGCAGAGATTGTGGTATGGTGTGTCATAAAAAATGTGAAGTCCGTTGTCAAGCATCGGGAACATGTGGTGCCGAAAATATAGCAACAATGGCATTAGAAGCGTTTGAAATAGAGCCTACTTCTCTCATTGGAGAATCGGGTCCAGAGATTTCCTTAACCAGTTGTGAAGATAATGTACAGGTACTCAAGACGTAGTAAAAGCTTTTATTACACGAAAATGGTATTGTCAACTTACACAGTTGTTCTGAAGTTCTATGCTTACACAATATTTTAAAATAACGAATAGTTGACAATTCCATAAAATGACCATAAATTCTTATTCGTTTTTCAATTATGATCCAATGTCATTTTTTAAAAACAATGATTATATTTAAGATAACTTAGATTTTAAAGTTAAATTTCTGAATTGAAATTTATTGCATATGTAATATATACACACATATATATAAATATAAATATATTAATTTATATTTTTATTAAAAAATTGTATATTAATTTTGAATGATAAAATTTTACTATCTAATTGTCGTTAGAATGAAATTTTAACAAAGAAGTATCATATAATTACAATCACTATGCATATCTTCGCTTTATTAGTTATGTTTGATTGTACAGTATGCAATGCTGTAATCAAGGAATTGCAGTTTTTGAGTAATTAATGTATACTTGAAACACCTAGAGTATTCTTGATATTTTGTACATAGGAAAACAACTGTTAAGTGTGATTCACTTTATTGTTGGCAATAAAACTGATCATCTGCATAATAGGGAGGTGAAGGTTTTTTGTAGGTTTGCACCTTGACCTTGCTTCTAATGTTGAGTACTTGTGAAGTTTGTAAGTGAATAGATAATTTATTTTATTAATATTTAATGAACCAACTCAGCCTTTTACACGCAAAATAATCAAGTGTGAGATTGAGAGCGCGATTGCTTGTATCATTTATTAAACATTTTATTGGTTTTCACGATTAAACAAGTTAAATTATTAATCAATTAAAAATCCGTTAATCGATTAATCAGGGTGCAACTATGATGGCCATGAAGGCTAGTATAGCTAATACTCTGTTGGGCCTGAAGAAGGCTGGAAGTACCAGTTGCTTGGCCCCACCGGCTTCCGGTACCGGTCTGGCATCTAGAAGTCTTCCCCCAAGTCCCTGTGCATCCCGCAAGGTAGAATTTAATAACAAATTTGTTGAGTTGGAACAGAGAAGGATCAGATTGATTGTAAATCGCTCCGTTCATAATTGATGTATTAATTACTAATAACATTTTAATTTTTTTCATTATGAATAAATCAATATACACTTCTGGGCCTTCTTTGCTCTATTTCTGTTCTTTATCCTATTCTCTGTACCAGCGATTGTAAGAAGCAAACGACACGCTTACGACTATTGATTGTAATTTTGAAGCTTAAATTATTTGATCCGCTTTGCGTTCATTTTTTTGCACAATGTGTTTGAAATACTGTACAAGCTTTCTACAGTTTTCTTTCTGTCGCTAATGATCATACTATTTTTCGTTGCTCATGTACTAACAATTACTTGGGATAACAGACATGCAAATGCACACTGCGGCCGCCACGCTTGTTATATAAGATATTCTTGTGTATTGACACTGTTTATAATCTCTTATAACACGATATACGATGCTTTCTTTACACCTTGATTATCAATATCAGTCGAGGTAGGTGCATCTATTCCCTAGGGTCAAAAGATTGAAAAATATCATGCTTCAACGAGTCTGATCGAATTATTGAAACATTTAGAATTCATTGGTTGGAGGCTTGGGAATAAGCTCTGATCTCTTGGAGGGTGCTGAACCTAGCGTAGCAGCTCCTCTAGTAGCTGGGGATTTGGACGATGGTCTTATGTCTAGGGCTAAAGATACCGGCAAGTTTCTATACAAACATTTGGAACTACAAGAACGCGTTGAAAAAATTAATACTATGGTAAAAATAAGAATGAATTTTCACTAATAAAGGAGATACAAGCTGACGCTATATCTAATTGTCAACTTTTTAATGCAGATGGGGAAGCTGAAAACTGCACTTGACGCGGAAACTACCTCAAGATTAGAATTATCGCAAAGCGGAGAAATTGACAGTATTAAATTGATTGCACAAAGTGATTTACGGGTGCAAGCACTGAGTGTCTTACTTTTGCATTACTGCGCCGGGTTACAACATGCGCAAGAAGCATTAGACCGATCTCAATGTAATAAGGAGTCTTCGCAGACTTAATTTTTACAAGAAGACTCTGATAGACAACCACCGATATGCATTTCAGTCCCCCATACGTTCTATTTCACTTCAGGTCTAAATTAACGGTCATCGATAAATTTGATAGATTATAATTCTGTCCAGGGATTGTATCATACGTATCATTACAATTATATCATTACAATTATACGTATCATATGCGTGCTTCAAAATTTTTCTTTGAATCATGCAGCGATATTCATGTTAATATGCCTCGAGATAATACTCGTAAATTTTATCGTGATATCATCATAGATTACCAGAGAACACCAAATATTAAGACTTGTATTTACAGATTCTATGTATACTTGTAGAGAACAGAGTACAACGTATATCAGCTGTGTTTACGCCTAGAGTATTTTCAGCGATTTAGGTAAATAGGTGTTATAGAGCGATTAAGATAACAAAAGCGGGAAAATAGTGTCTTGAGTTTTAGCGTAAGGTAATGGGCAATTAGATATTTAATTATAGTATTCGATAGCTCTACGGAATAGATATTAATCTATTTGATATCAATATAGCGATTAAATTTTTATTATCAGAATTGAAACAGTTCAGAATAGATTTTATTTCTTACCGAATCGTGTTTCGCTAATTATAAGGCAGCTGCAACGAAACGCATGAATTGCGTCTGATTTATCAAATATCAACACCAATATTATCTTCACGAGAGCATGAATGAAATACACGATACGATAGAATTCCATCCATAAATAGCACCAACATCGAGATATCGATTTGGATTTCGTGACTTGACTAGGTATTACGTTTCATTGTTAATATGTAAAATGAATATAACAAAATGAACATAGATCGTTGAACGAGTATATTCACTGATAGTTTATACTCGGATATATACTACTTAAAACTAATAACAAGACTAACGAGAGCCGTTTCTCGACCAATTATCTTTTCTCAAAAGTACACTATTGTTCCAAACACTGCTTTAAGTATTAAAAAATGTTCCATTCGTCCAACATGAAGTATATGCGAATAAAAGCGAAATCGAGCATCGAGTAAACACTCAGCTATAGCTATTGGCGATGTTTCCGTTCAAGCTACATACATACGTGAAACATCCGAATTCTTGGTAAATATGAAAATACTCGAAAAACGGAGACGCAGAAACTTTCGAGCGCACAAAGAATCTACGTCAGAGCCAAAGATTTTATAGGGCCAATGTTCGCGGTCGAACGGAGACGTTTTGCGAAGGTTCTCCGCCGATTATAATCACGGAACGCCAGATTGCACGGTAAAAGCAAGGGAAAAAATAGCCTGTAGTATAAAATTCCCGGCGATTTGTATATCATCTCCTTTTCTCACAACATTGTACGAATCAGCGAAAGTTTCCAAAACATCACCGCGTCTCCCAGCGTTTCATCTCGTATCCAAGCCCGCGATTTTCCAACGTTCAGAAAACTGTGTTGCGCGTATTAAATTCGTGGAACACGATGTTTCTTTCTGTCACGTGTTGGCAGATCACAGTTGGCTCAGAACTCGCCAATCTTGACCGGATGTAAAATTGCGCGTCGTTTTGGAAATGCAAAGTCATCGAATTCACGAAGACAGTGTACTTATACCTAGCAGACATTACACCCTCGTTGCAACTATTTCAACGATCGGTCTAGCCCCCTTCATTGATACTCGATGTAGACCTAACGAAAACTAGGATGCAGCGAGCATCTTCCTTATCGGCAAATGTGTATATATGTACATAGAGAGAGAAAGAGAAGGAAAGAAATCGTAGGAAGAAAAAGAAGAGAGGACATACACGTGCGCGGGTCGCGTGCGTCGATCTCGCGCGATGTAGCGTAGCTTTTATCTCGCGTACGTCCATGCGAGAGTTAATACGAATACGACAACCGAGAAGTCATGGGGGATTTTGGCCCGTGAATCTATTCTCGTCCATGAAATGCACGCGCAGTATCCTCTGGATACGTGCCAAACATACCGAAGAATCGTATAAACATTTTATCCCTGTTGGGCACTGGGCTCTACGATGAATGGAGAGCAAAGTTCTCCATCGAGAAGAAAACGATCGACTTTCACGGGCTACCCTTTGGCGTTTGTTCGCAATTACACCAAGGATAGCCAGAGATTCGATTCTTTTTTCCTTCTTCTCTTTTTATCACCGAACTACCGATAACGATGAGTCAAGGCGATTTTCCTTTTTAGAACGACGTATGATCGGTCGAGAGTTTGTCTGAAAAGAAAGGCGTAGAAATATGTTATTCAGTGTGTGACGAAACGAATACGTTTCTCGATGTTGCGATGTCAGCCAAATTTGAACACGCGCATTCGGTGTTTTCTTTTGTCTGAAAAGTGCCCTGGCAATGTTTGCCTGTTCTTCCAGATGCTCGCACTGGCTGTTTATTATCGCGGTAAAGCGACGATGCACGTGTCCCTATGCAGTCTCTTTCCTAAATTGTCACTTAAAAAAAGATTTATTATATTCTCTATCTTCGTCCAACGTATTTCCAACAAAATGCTCAATATTGTTTTCTATGAAACATCGCTTCTTTAAAATAACGCGAATATACTTAGTAATCTTGCCGATCGATTTATTTTTTATATGTAATTTATTTGAAAGGATTCCTTGGGAGATTTTCAGCGATTTACCGAGTAAATACCGGTAATACGCGTTCATCTCCATTGTCGAGTGGAACGTATGCGTATCAGTTTTATTCGCTGTATTTACGTAGTCTTCACGATGTATCGCGTTGTTTGCAAAGAAATACGGAGAAAAATGTGTGAAACAGGATCGTTGCTGGAAAAGCGCTGTTGATATCTGTACGTGTATCGAGCGTTTGCAGTGGCGCAGTAGGCATCGTGCCGAACGAATAGTCGCATTTTCGGCCTTGGTTTTTCATCATATTTCTAATACTTTGCGAACACGAAGAAAGCTTTCGCCGCGAGGAGTGGACCGGAAGTGCGAGATATACGAGTGTATCAAACACTTTTCGTTCAGTCTCGTACGCTTCCTTGTCTTTACCGCGTGAGGTGTGCCACTAATTGCACATTTATGTAACGACGCGATCAAATATATATATATAGGAAGAAAGAATGAATAAAATATTTGAGCAACGACAATCGAGGAATCGTCCGTACATGTGGTTGTATAATAATTTCTTAATCCGTTGTATAATTTCTTTCAGCTAATCTACCATCGAACACTTCCCCTTTACGCTTCGTATGCGTGTGGGAAATTTCGTTCGCTTTTATATCGTTGCGCAAGAATTCTGACCGTATGGATAGGCGCGAAATAAAAAATCGAAAGATTCTACGATCTTTAGATGTTCCTTATAACGTATCATGAATTATAGATGAAAGAAACTTGGAATTGATTAAAAAGCGAGTCGAAAGAGAAATACAATTTGGAAGCTCGTATCGAAACGTTGGCAGGAAGTTCATCAGCGTCGTTTCGCAGTCACGTAAACGCACCAACGCTTTCCAAACTTACACGCGCGATATCTAGGCCCTTTCCTAGCGCAGTCGTGATCAAAAGAACTTCAATCTCGATAGAACGTGCAATTAGATGAGTCATCCCGTTCTGCGAGAACTTTTGCGTCGAGTATTACGCTTCTCCCTGTGACGATCCCTTCCTGTTTCCGCCAATCTTACGTTTGGACTTCCTTCGTCTATGTCGTACGTAAAGACCTTCGAGTAGTCGCATTTATCTGACTATTTCTGTCCGAAGAAACTTCAATGCCGCGTTTAACGTAGTTCGACTCTTAAGAAGCGTGACGCGGAAAAGCCAGTCACACAGTCGATCCACGAAAAGATCTTTCTATTTAACGTTCG